GGGTCACCAGCTTCTCTGAGATTTGAAGTCCAAACATCTTGGAAGTTGTCAAGATTGAGAAATACTGGTCTAGGGAATTGCATACATGATGTGCTTATTATGTGGATGTGTCACACAAGCTCAGAAAATGGGTTAGGAAAGTAATCATTATTACAATTAGCCCAATAAACATTTATGCAAATGTAACCTCAGAGAGCTAAGTCAGCAGTCAACCAGATCTTCCTGGTCTTAGATTTCCAATCTCTCAACCAAAAACATCTCGGAGAAGACATCCCTCAGATGGATTAGATGACTTGAACCAGAAGAACCATTCTAACTTGACACCAAGATGCTTCCTAGGTCCAGATTTGTTCTTCCATCTAGTCCTCCAGCCAAAATGGCCTCTTGCTGCATTCTTTTGACTCCACCATCTCATCACCATCTTGACTAACTGCCTCTGACTCATCTTGGCCCTCCAATACTGTAGAGCTGTTCACCAAATGCTCATTATCTAACAACCAGCCTCCCTGGTGATTGCATAATTGGGATTGTTCAATCGTGTATGTAAAGCACAGGGCAGGGCCCACTGGTGGTGGTGGTGGGGAGGCGAGACAAGGGAGGGGGCAGGATTATGTAAAGCATGGAAGATTCTGGAAGGAGGTACCTGAACTGGTCTGAGGGCCAAAAAGCGAGGCAGGAATGAATAGCAGTGCAGTCTCCATGAATGTCAGAATAGGTTCTACGGCAATGTTTCTCAGCTTTAGCTGTGTGGACTTCAATTCCCAGAATTGAACCTGTGTGGACCAGCTCCCAATTGTATGGACTTAAATCCCAGAGTTGTGGTGTACTTTAACTCCCAGAAGCTGTGGACTTCCACACCCAGAATTAAAGATGTCGGGACCAATCCTGCATTGTGTGGACGTCAATCCCAGAGGAGTTTTGGTGGCCTTCAGCTCCTAGAATCTAAACCAGGGGTAGTCAACCTTGGCTCTTTTATGACTCGTGGACTTCAACTCCCAGAATTCCTGAGCCAGCCATGCTGAGGGGAAAAGGAGAGGTTTCCAAGCTGAGCCATGCTGGCTCAGGAATTCTGGGAGTTGAAGTCCCCGAGTCATAAAAGAGCCAAGGTTGACTACCCCTGATCTAAACTGTGTGGACTTCAACATCCAGAGTCGAAGCTGTCTGGGGAATTCTGGGATTTGAAGTCCACCCATCTTGAAGTTGCTGAGGTTGAGAAACGTTGGGTCTCCAGGGTTGCAGTTTGAGACCTGGCTACAGAGACTTCTCCAACAAACACACCTGGAAGATTGTGATGTTGAGCTCAGGGCCCATGGGTATCCTATTTATTCCTGGACAATCACTGACCCCTTGGATCAGTGTTTCAGAGGTATTTCCTTAACAGATTCGCTATAGGCCCATTTTGTCAAAACCTGGAAATGTGGGTTTTCAGCAAAACCATCATAAAACATGGTTAAGGAACAGCAAGACATTGCAAATGACCATAAATGCTGGCTGGTTTCCAGGTGACCGAAATGTGGTCATGTGATCCTGGGGGGGGCACCATTAGAACTTCTCAACTGGTCATAAGTACCCCCACAGAGGTCCATCATAATCTTGACTGATTACTAAGCAACCAGTCATAAATCGAGGACTATATGACTGTATTGAATTTTCTCTCCTCTTGCACTGGTCAAAGGTGGGACAGCAACTATGGCTGATTCTTCCCCCAGTAGAACAGGGTTCTAGCTTTATCTGTGCATATCAGCATTAAACAGCTGGATGGAACTCTTCCTTTAAAGGGTTAGGATGCAGCTGAGGGTGTCAACATTGCTGCAATCTTGTCAAGTTAAATTCATCGTCTTCCAGATGTTGCTAGAGGAGAATTTCTACCAGCCTCAAACAAGGTTCTATGTTTAGGCAAGAAAAACCAATTGCACAGGTATAGTATAGGCTCTGGCTCAGTAGTGCCAACTGTGAGAGGGATCTCGGAGTCCTAGTGGACAATCCCTTAAATAGGAGCCAGCCATGTGCTGCAGCTGCCAAAAAAGCCAACACAGTGCTAGGCTGCATTATCAGAGGGATAGAATCAAGATCACATGATGGGTCAATGCCATTTTACAATGCCTTGGTAAGGCCACACTTGGAACACGGCATCCAGTTTTGGTCGCCACGATGTAAAAAAGATGCTGAGACTCTAGAAAGAGTGCAGAGAAGAGCAACAAATATGATCAGGAGACTGGAGTCTAAAACATAAAACGAACGGTTGCTGGAATTGGGCATGTCGAGTTTAATGAAGAGAAGGACCAGGGGTGACATGATAGCAGTCTTCCAATATCTCAGGGGCTGCCCCAAAAAAGAGGGAGTCAAGCTCTTCTCCAAAGCACCTGAAGGCAGGACAAGAAGCAACGGATGGAAACTAACCAAAGAGAGAAGCAACCTGGAATTAAGGAGAAATTTCCTGACAGAACAATTAATTAGTGGAACAACTTGCCTCCAGAAGTTGTGAATGCTCCAACACTGGAAGTTTTTAAGAAGAGAGTGGACAGACATTTGTCTGAAATGGTATAGTTTCCTGCCTAAGCAGGGGATTGGACTAGAAGACCTCCAAGGTCCTATTCTATTCTATTCTATTCTATTCTATTCTATTCTATTCTATTCTATTCTATTCCTCCATATTCTGTTCTGTTCTATTCTATTGTTCTGTTCTGTTCTTGTAGCAATGGCTTGGTTTTCCCACATAGAGGAAGGCCATAGAACACAGAATCCCAGGGCTGGAAGGAACCTCAGAGGTCTTCTAGTCCAATCCTGTTAAGGCAGGAGATCTTATACCATCCAGATCCAACGTCCCAAGAGTGCTTTTTCAAAAGGCAACTGGACTTTGCTTTTTCCTTGAAGACGTTTCACTTCTCATCCAAGAAGCTTCTTCAGCTCTAACCAAATGGCGAAGGATGGAAGGATCGTGGATTTAGTCAGAGCTGAAGAAGTGAAACATCTTCAAGGAAAAACAAAGTCCAGTTGCCTTTTGAAAAAGCACTTTTGGGACAACCGTGACCTGGATGACTGAGAATCTCCTTGTAGACATCTCGGTCAAATGGGTTGTCCAGTCTGTTTTTGAAAACCTCCAGTGATGGAGCATCCACAACTCCACCACCGCAGCCTGTATCTTCTTCCACCTTAGAAGAATAATTTTGGGGTTCTCAATAATTCTGAGTTCCCGCAAACCTGAGTGGAGCAAGATCCAATCAAAGAAAATGAAATGAAATCGAGACATACTGCAAAAAAGATTTTATTCTCAAGAACAAAAAAAGGGGGGGCAGGGACTTCGTTTTATAGGGGAACTGGTTTTTGATGTGTACACGTGTGGCGTGTGGTTTGCGTTATGTGCTGGTTTTAACATGTTTTTCTGGCGCAGATGTGCAGATATAGGAGTGGGAGGGTTGATCAGAAGCCTTTCAACTTCTATCCATTCTTTAGGGTGATTATTTTTTGAGAGGGAAATAAAGTCGAGGGAGTCACCAACAGCAGTTTTCTTAATGGCCAGATAATAAACCTGGGCGATTATTCAACATGAGAATGAGAAGTGGGTTCATCAAGTGTAGCTTCCTAGAGTGGCTGTCAAAATCAGGACCTGTTCTGGACCAGAGGTCCCCAACTCCCGGTCCGTGGCCTGTTAGAAACCGGAGGTGAGCGACAGGCGAGCAAAACTGCACATGTGTGGCATCTAGGTGACACTCCCCTCCTCTTACTGGCCCAGTCCATTTCGGTCTGGAGAAGATGGATAGATTATATTCAGAACAAATATGGGACTAAAAAGTTCCATTTGGCTTAGGAGTAAATTTTAGAGTATTATTATTATTAATACTAGTTTATTATAGTGGAATTTTTGTTAGTTTTAATTGTACGATATTATTATTTTTAGTATTAATATTGTATGGTTTCACAATTAGGTTGTTAATTTGTTTATTATTGTTTTTAATTTTAATTTGTTTAAATTTATGTTAAAGGGGAGTTAAAGCGTGTTATGGACTTGGTTACTTAAACAGTTGGTTAATGTTAGTTAGATTATGATTATTATATTTGTAACCCTGTGTTCAGCTTTGGGAAGTGTGGGAGGGGGGGGCTTGGGGGTTTATATTGTAATTTTTATAAAACTTTTAATAATAATAGTAAAAAAAAGAAATTGTCTTCTACAAAATCAGTTTCTTGTGCCAAAAAGGTTGGAGATCCGTATTCTGGATGACCTCATGGCCTCAGCCCTCACCAGATTTCACCCAGGCCTTGCTTCTTAAATCCAATCTCCATTTAACTCCTCTATTATAATCTTATTTTTCCTTCCAGGAAGGGAGAGGAAGAGGAGTGATGGCTTGATTTGAGTTCTACTCCATGAACGAAGAGTAATTTTCTAGTATTTCTTTAACCAGAGGAGGAATTTATTATTATTTTTTAATAAAGTCCTTTACTGGAGGCGTCATGCTCCTCTCAACTGATTGGAGGCAAACAGGATGGAAAGAGCATTTGACTTCAGTATCTAATGTTGAAATAAGAGAAATGTTGGTTAGTAAACTTAAGACATTTGGAAATTAATAGAAAATAAGAATGCTGTACTGTATTATTAATTAGCTGATGTAAGATGGTGAGAAATAGAATATATTCAGATAGATAAGATGTGTATCCTGAACATTAGGTTTTGTGATGAATTGGGATGAAGGGAGCTGTGGTTATTTAAAACTTGGAAATTATAAATATTAAATGTTAAATGTAAATGGGAAACTAAAAATTGGGAAAAACTAATTAGGACATTGATAGTCTATATAAAGATTGAATGTTAAAAGAACTAGGATGTGTATAAACTAAAAATTATTGAAATATTTAATGTAATAGTTTGAGACGTGTACTAAAGATATCTGTATGTTATTGAATTATCAATTAACTCAGCTGCCACGCTGCTTTTAAAATATTTAAATGAAAAACGAGAAAATCGATAAAACTTTAAAAACAAATCTAAGAAAAAAAATCTTGAAGAAAAAAAGTTATGGGCAAGAAGAACACACCCTCAACAGTTCCAAATCCATGGAGGAGCCCAGATGTTTTCAGATGGACCATTTCTCTGTCCGAGCTTCCACCTTTTTGACCAGGCCTTTTCCCAAGATCTGGAAGTCTTCCAAAATGGCTTCCACGTTTGGAACCACCGTTGGCGGAGAACTTAGTCTGGACATCATCCTCCCTTTAATGTTTGATACCTGGTGGAATTAAAAGAAGCAGGTTAAAATAGCTGCCAAATATGGCTCCAACTATACATTGGAACCTATATATTTGTAAAAAGGGGGCGAGAATTTACTGGTTTTTTTCTTCTTTTTTTTAAGCATCCAGCCTGGATGGATTCTATATATTAAATGTTAAATTTTCTTTGCTATTTGGATCATCTTTTTCTCTCTTTTTTGTACACCATTTTTCCCCTTTTTGTTGTGTTTAGTGCTGGACGTATGTTTTTGTTTTGTTTAATTTGTTTTTCTATTTCGTATTTTACCTTTTGTGATAAAACAAAATAAATATACTTCAACAACTTACACATTGGAATCCTGCAGCCACTGGTGCTCTCTGAGCTTGGTGGTTTCCTTGCAGACATTTCATGACCCAACTAGGTAACATCATCAGTGCTATCCCAAAGGTGCTTTTCAACAAGACAACTGGACTTTCTTTTTTTCTCTTTGAAGACGTTTCGCTTCTCATCCAAGAAGCTTCTTCAGCTCTGACTGGATGGTAGGGAATGGAAGGATTTATACTCCTTGAAGACAGCTGGTCATTTGCATTCTTTTAGGGAGTCGTTGAGCCCACTTGGAGATTTATCTGTGTCCTCAGGGTCACCTGAGTGGTGCAAATGGGTGTGGAGCCTTCTTGGGACTGCTGAAAGGACTGTGTTGTAGACTGGAGATCAATGATTCATATCCCTCCCCCTCTGTTGAGAGAAGGCTGTTCAGTTTTGACCTAGATGGCCTCTTTGACCCCTCTTTCAAACCAGCAATCCTCTGTCTAAAATGCGGAAATTATATTCCTTGAAGACAGCTGGTCATTTGTATTCTTTCAGAGAGTCGTTGAGGCCACTTGGAGATTTACGTGTCCTCAAGGTCACCTGAATAATCTTCTTCAGAGTCATCTTCAGCCAACACAACATACGTGCACACTTTAAACCCAAGAATACACTGAGGCAGAGGCTTGTCCACCCCAAAGACAAAACACCCAGATACAAACTGAACAATGTGGTATATGCAGTACAATACAGTGAGACACGTGCAGATCTGTACGTTGGGGAAACAAAACAACCACTTCACAAAAACATAGGAGAACAAACCCATCAGGACAAGATTCAGCAGTCCATCTGCATTTGAAAGACAAAGGCCGCTCTTTCGAAAACAGCAAAGTCCACATTTTGGACAGTGTGGATCACTAGTTTGAAAGGGGGGTCAAAGAGGCCATCTAGGTCCAAACCGAACAGCCCTCTCTCAACCGAGAGGGAGGGATATGACATCATCTCACTCCAGTCTACAACACAGTCTTTTCAGGAGTTCCAAGAAGACTCCACACACACTTGCACTACTCAGGTGACCGTGAGGACGCAGACAAACCTCCAAGTGGCCTCAACGACTCTCTAAAAGAATGCAAATGACCAGCTGTCTGCAAGGAATATAAATCTTTCCATTCCCCACCATCTGAAGAAGCTTCTTGGATGAGAAGCGAAACGTCTTCAAAGAGAAAACAAGAAAGTCCAGTTGCCTCTTGAAAAAGCACCTTTGGGTCAAGAGTTGAGCGCTCACCTTGAAGGGCTGCGGTTCAAAGGCCGAAGGCTTCCAGAGGACCCCAATAACGTCTCCTCCATATTTGTCATAGAAGAACAGGGCAAAGTCACTAAAGGCTTCCTGCAATAAGAAAGGTTTTCATGAAAGGAAACTGCCCACATCTCCAAGTCTAATCAACCTTCACGATCGCAAGGTCGCAACTGCCACCTTGACTTTTCACGCAGACACACGCAGAGGGTGACCCCTAGCTTGCAACAGGACAAGTGAAGTCTACCTTACATTGAAGGTGTCTCTTTTAACTCCTAGATGGAGGTGGTTGGCCGTGGCTTTCTTCTAAGACCTTTCACACTTAAGGGTCCTTGATACTCTCTGAGTTTGGCTGTTTCCTTGCTGCAGTTGTTTTATGACCCAGCTAGGGAACATCATCAGTGCTAGAAGGAAGTGGGGTTGGCTCTACCAGTGATGGTGGAAGTGTTCTTGGTAGTTCCTTAATTAGGCTGAGATATGTATGTAGGGAGGGGAGGGGGAATATAGAGAGAGACGATAGCTAGCTAGATTATTATCAGATGGGTAGATAAATAATAATAGACAGATACAGACAGAGACGATAGATAGATAGATAGATAGATAGATAGATAGATAGATAGATAGATAGATAGATAGATAGATAGATAGATAGATAGATAGATAGATGGATGGATGGATGGATGGATGGATGGATGGATGGATGGATGGATGGATGGACGGAGAGAGAGAGAGAGAAGATGGATAAATAAATAGACACAGAGATAGATAGACAGACAGACAGACAGAGAGAGACAGAGTTAGAAGAAAAGAATGTTTGTACTCAGGGTTGAACTGTGGACTCCTTAGTGCTGTCTGAGCTTGGTGGTTTTCTTGCAGACATTTCATGACTCAACTAGGTAATGTCATCAGTGCTAAAGGGAGGAGGGTGAAGGGGAGGAGGAGGAGGAGGAAGAGGAGAGGACCGAGGGGTCCTTAGTGCTCTCTGAGCTTGGTGGGGGTTTTTTGGGACATTTCATGACCCAACTAGGTAACATTATCAGTGTTAGAAAGGCGGAGAGCTGGCTTTCTGTTTACATACAGTGGTTTGCCCTTGACATGATGGGACTGTTGTTTTCTATCTTGGTGGATCTAAGACCTCCGAGTCTTGATGTCTGCCTGTCTGAAACACTGGATTAGAGCGTGAAGGGAAGACCACCATGAAACCTACCGGCTCTTGGCTCAGCTGGGAAGTTGATCTCTCTACTCACAAGGCACTAAGTTCAGCCTAAGGCAAACTTTCCTTTGTGCGCTCAGAAGAAAGCCCTAAATCGGGGTTAAGAGCCTTTTAAGTAACAAGCTGAAGCAAGAATCTTACTAATCCCTTTTTGATTTCTTCATCTTTCTTTTTAAGCTAAGTTGGATTTGCTCTTGGTCGGGGTAGGCAACCTTGGCTCTTTTATAACTCGTGGACTTCAACTCCCAGAATTCCTGAGCCAGCATGGCTCAGCTTGGAAACCTCTCCCTTTCCCCTCAGCATGGCTGGCTTAGGAATTCTGGGAGTTGAAGTCCACGAGTCATGAAGGGGCCAAGGTTTGCCTCATGCTGGCCCAGAATTCCTGAGCCAGCAGGGCTCAGCTTGGAAACCTCTCCCTTTCCCCTCAGCATGGCTGGCTCAGGAATTCTGGGAGTTGAAGTCCACCAGTCATAAAAGAGCCAAGGTTGCCCACCCCTGATCTTGGTTATTTCCCAGAGCCACAGTGTGGCACACATAAAAAAAAAAATATCAGCCACGGTTGCCATCTTGACTTGTAACGACCATACCCCGTACAGGTAATCCTCGACTTACAACCGTTCGTTTAGTGACCGTTCGATGTTTCAATGGCACTAAAACAAGTGACTCATGACAGTTTTTCACATTTACGACCGTTGCAGCATCCAGGGCCACGTGATCAAAATTCAGACATTTGGCAACTGACTCGTATTTATGACGGTCGCAGTGTCCCGGGGTCCCCTGTTGTAACCCTCGGACGAGCAACGTCGATGGGGAAGCCAGGTTCACTTAACAACCATGTTCCTCACTCAAGAAGCGCAGTTATTCGCTTAACGACAGTGGTTGCAAAATGGGGCAAAATTCACTTCACGACTGCCTTGCTTAGCAATGGAGATTTTGGGCTCCAATGGGGAGGAGTGCCTGCGTCGACCTCCTTCTTACAGGCTTCTCGTTTTTAGAATCTTTTTTGAACTTTTCCTACAAGATTTGACGTATGTTTCGCAAGTCGTGGGGCACGCCCGAGGCAGAGTCCTGTCGAGGCACACCCATTCAATCTGGGTGGGGTCCTTTATTAATTCTTTTTAAAAGGGTTAAAAAAGAAAAAAAGATCCCCAAATCCTGGTAAAAGGGGCGTTCGCCACTGGAGGGCAAGATCAAAGCCCACTGACAAAACAGGCTTGATCCGGCTGCTGAAATAACCCCATTTTGGGATTAACCGTTCAAGAGGATTTTTTTTGCGCAACAAGCTGAAATGGTTTCTAATAACCTAGACCTCAATTTTTGAGAGTTGCTGATCAGGAAAGAAAAGCCCTTATCTATCTGTCTGTCTGTCTCTCTGTCCACCTATCTACCTATCTGTCTGTCTGTCCGTCCACCTATCTATCTGTCTGTCTGTCTGTCTGTCTGTCCACCTATCTATCTGTCTGTCTGTCTGTCTATCTGTCCATCCACCTATCTATCTGTCTGTCTGTCTTTCTGTCTGTCCATCCGTCCACCTATCTATCTATCTATCTATCTGTCTGTCTGTCTGTCTGTCTGTCCATCCACCTATCTATCTGTCTGTCTGTCTTTCTGTCTGTCCATCCATCCACCTATCTATCTATCTATCTATCTGTCTGTCTGTCCGTCCGTCCGTCCGTCCGTCCACCTATCTATCTGTTTGTCCATCCACCTACCTACCTACCTAGCTAGCTGTCCATCCGTCCATCCACCTATCTATCTGTCTGTCCACCTATCTGTCTGTCTGTCTGTCCACCCACCCATCCGTCTGTCTGTCCGTCCATCCACCTCTCTCTCTGTCCGTCCACCCACCCATCTGTCTGTCTGTCCATCCACCTATTTATCTATCTGTCTGTCTGTCTGTCTGTCTGTCTGTCTGTCTGTCTGTCTGTCCACCTATCTATCTGTCTGTCTGTTTGTCCACCAACCTATCTATCTGTCTGTCTGTCTGTCTGTCTGTCTGTCTGTCTATCCGTCTATCTTTCATTCATCCATCCCATCTTTATTATTTTTAAAAATAAGGCAGCAAACATATCAGGAAAGAAAATCTCCAGTTGACTGATTGATTTATAAATAACAGCCCAGAGCACACAGAGAAGCTCCCCAAGGATGGGCTCCAGCACGAATCCGAAAGCTCGGAAGACAAAACCTCTCGTCCCGGTGACCGAACCAAATTGGATCCTACTTATTTATTTATCCATCCATCCATCCCACCTTTATTATTTTTATAAATAAGGCGGCAAACATATCCAACACAACCTTCCTCCTCCTATTTTCCCCACAATAAGAACACAGTGAGGTGGGATGGGCTGAGAGAGAGTGATTGGCCCAAAATCACCCAGCTGGCTTCCATGCCTAAGGCAGGACTAGAACTCACGATCTCCCAGTGATTGGCCCAAAGTCAACCAGCCAGCTTTCATATCTAAGATTGGACTAGAACTCATTGTCTCCTGGTGATCAGCCCAAAGTCACCCAACTGGCTTTCATATCTAAGGCAGAACTAGAACTCGCGATCTCCTACTGATTGGCCCAAAGTCACCTGGGTGGTTTTCCTGGCTAAGGAGGGACTAGAACTCATTGTCTCCTGCTTTCTAGCCCAGTGCCTTAACCCATAGAAATAAATATTTCTCCTCCACTATCCTCAATTTTCCTGACCACCACAAAATGGGTGTTCTCCAAACTGCATTCTCATTCAATTCTTAGATCTCGAAATAACTCGGTCACTTTTCCTGAAGTGTCCTTCTCTGTTCCTTTGCTCTGTTCAGGTCAGCTAATAATTCCCCCCCGCCGGATCATATTGATTTAGAATATTGCCTATTTTTTCTCCGATTCCTTCAGTTGTCAGAAGGTTAATATGCAGCCCTCACCCATCGAACCGTTTCTACTTTCACGCTCACCCACAGCCACCTAAATCATGGGTACCCTAATCTCGAGATTACACCTTGGAAGTCATCTTATAAACTACCAGTAGTATTCCATCAACTAGCAGGTATATGGCATAAACCTGCTAGTTGAGAGAATGAGATGGTTAATGGCTGAGAGCCAGTTGCCAGTTTGCTCTAGTGGTGAAGGTGCCAAGCTACAAACTGGGAGACGGTGAGTTCTAGTTTCATGCTTAGGCACAAAAGCCGGCTGGGTGACTTTGGGCCAATCACCAGGAGACGGTGAGTTCTGGCCCCACCTTAGCCCTGAAAGTTGGCTTGTTGACTTTGGGCCAAATCATCAAGAGACGGTGAGTTCTGGTCCTACCTTAGCCCTGAAAGTTGGCTTGTTGACTTTGGCCAAATCATCAAGAGAACGGTGAGTTCTGGTCCTACCTTAGTCATTCAAGTTGGCTGGGGGACTTTGGGCCTGTCCCCCTCTCTCAGCCCAACCCACCTTGCAGGATTGTGGTTGTGGGTAAAATAGGAGGAGGAAAGAGTATTAGGTATGTCCGCTGCCTGGAGTTATCCCTAAAAATCTCCAAGGCAGGATATAAATAAATAAAGATATTGTGACACATAAATGAGAAAACTTGAGTGTGTCTCAATCTTCTAGTGTCCCATCAAAAACAATTTGTATTAAAAAAAACCAACAACCATCTGTGTGTTTATAGAGACTGCCAACACAGGGAGAAAGATCCTTTGGTGTCAAAACTATGGGTGAGCTGTAGGTTGCTCAATCCAGACCGCACGCAATTGCGTCAGAGACGCTGTCACCACAAAACTAGGAATAAGGGATTGATCAAGGCCCAGCCAGAGAATCCAGTGACATGCAAAAAAAGGTTGTGGCGTCTCTCTTACAAAAGATGGACATCTCTGCAAGAGCAGGATAAAACAGGTTCTATCCTGATCTGTTTCCTTCTCAGGAGGAGAGAGTTCCTCGTGAATCGCTTGCCCCATTTCTGAAACCCTTCTGCGCTACGTTGCTTCCATAGCCTCTGAATCACCCTGTGGCTTTATTAGGGTGATTAAGAAAACGTCATCCGACTAGATCCAGAGAAATAAACCCGATTTAGGACAATGTCGGTCACAAGACTGCAAAAAGGCTGGGGGGGGAGGGGGAACACACCCTTGCTGTGGCTTTGTTGAAGACCGAGGTCACATGTTCATCCTGAGATACGGGTAGTCCTCGACTTACAACAGTTCATTTAGTGACCGTTTGAAGTTAACAACGGCACTGAAAAAAGTGACTTATGACCGTTTTTCACTCTTACGACCATTGCAGCATCCCCACAGCCACGTGATTTACATTCAGACGCTTGGCAATTGGTTCATATTTAGGACGGTTGCTGTGTCCCGGGGATCACGTGATCTCCTTGTGCGATCTTCTGACAAGCAAAGTCAAGGGGGAAAGCCGGATTCACTTAACGACTGTGTTACTAGAATAGAATAGAATAGAATAGAATAGAATAGAATAGAATAGAAAATGGAAATTAGAACAGAACAGAATAAGCAATAGAATATAGAATAGAATAGAGTAGAATAGAATAAGCAATAGGATATAGAATAGAATAGAATAGAATAGAATAGAATAAACAATAGGATACAGAATAGAATAGGAAATGGAAATTAGAACAGAACAGAACAAAGCAGAACAGAATAGAATAGAGTAGAATAGAATAAACAATAGGATATAGAATAGAATAGAATAGAATAGAATAGAGTTGGAAGGGACCTTGGAGGTCTTCTAGTCCAGCCCCTGCTCAAGCAGGAGAACCTATACCATCCCAGACAAGTGAATGTCCAGTCTCTTTTTAAAAATCTCCAGTGAGGGAGCACCCACGATTTCTGGAGGCAAGTTGTTCCACTGGTTAATTGTCCTCACTGTCAGGAAGTTTACTAATTTAACAACTGCAGTGAGTCACTTAACAGCTATGGGAAGAAAGGTCGTAAAATGGGGCAAAACCCACGTAACAAATCTCTCAGTTAGCAACATGAATTCTGGGCTCCACTGTGGTTTTAAGTCGAGGACCACCTGTATATCTAAAATGGCAAAAATGTTCCCTGGGCTAATTGTCTACAAAGGTTCTCAGTCATCCAGGTCCTGATTATTCCAAAGGAGCTTTCCCCCCCCCCCCCCGAAAGGCACCTGGACTTTCTTGCTTTTGCTTGAAGAGGTTTCGCTTCTCATCCAAGAGGCTTCTTCAGTTCTGACTAAATGGTGGAGGATGGAGGGATTTACCCAGATAGTCCTCAGCTTACAACAGTTTGTTTAGTGACTGTTCAAAGTTACAACAGCACTGAAAAAAGGGACTTACGATCATTTTTCACACTTACAACCGTTGCAGCATCCCCCCCCCCGTGGTCACGTGATCAAAATTAGCTTGGCAGCTGACTCGTACTTACGACGGTCGCAGTGTCCCAGGGTCACGTGATCCCCTTTTGCGACCTTCGAACAAGCAAAGTCGATGGCAAAAGCCAGATTCACTTAACAACTGTGTGACCAACTTAACAACTGCGGTGATTCGCTTAACAACTGCGGCAAGAAAGGTCATAAAATGGGGGGGGGGGAATCAAAACAACTGTGTCTCGCTTAGCAAGGGAAATTCTGGACTCCACTGTGGTCGTAAGTTGAGGACTGCCTGCACAGTGTTAGGATTGCAGCTGAACTTCTCAAGGTGAGCGGCCAGGTGCTCACCAAGCCAGATACTTACTTGGAGCTCCTGCAGGTAGCACTGGACGGGGTCAAAATCCACCACTGGGAAAGAAATGGTTTTTGTGATGTTGTTCCACTTCAACATCCCCCGGTAGAAGGACCAGGTGGGCCGGTCGACGGCCTCCGGGTACCTGGGGATCTGCTTGGGGTTCAGGTGGATGAGGACATCATAAAGATCCAGTGGAGGCCGGAAGACCATCTGCAAGAGACAAACCGTGGTTTTATGGTCAGCAGAACATGGAATAACGGGGCTGGGAGAGACTTCGGAGATCTTCTAGTCCACGGGTTGGCAACCCGCAGCTCCGGAGCCACATGTGGCTCTTTGAGCCTTCTGCTGCGACTCCCAGTCCTCCTCCACCATTTGCAGAGAGAGAGAGACAGAGAGAGAGACAGGCAGTTGCGGTTCCCTTCTCTCTCTCTCTCTCTCTCTCTCTCTCTCTCTCTCTCTGTCTGTCTCTGTAAAAGAGACAAGCTGACAAGCTTATTGGGTGGGGCTCCTACCTTTGCTGCGTCTCCGCAGGAAAAAGCAGAAAGCAGCAGCTCTCTCTCTCTCTCTCTCTCTCTCTCACACACACACACACACACACACACACACACACACACAGACACACACACTGAGTGGGGGAAGAGGACTGGCAGACCAAGGGCAGGAGAGAGCCAGCCCAATAAGAATGTGTGTCAGCTTGTCAGAGAACAGTGTCAAGCCAGCTGGCCAGATGAGCAGAAGATCGGAGAGAGGGAGGAGAGGGGGGGAGGAAGAGAAAGAGAGGGAGAGAGAAAGAGAGAGGGACGGAGAGAGAGCAAGAGAACTCATGCACAGCAGCCTCTATTTCTTTTTAATTAAACTTTTCAATCAAGCCCCCTCCTCCAGCACGTGCGCCTGTGAGTTTTGCAGCTCCCAGTGTTTTCTTTTCTGTGGGAAACAGGTCCAAGTGGCTCTTTGAGTGTTTAAGGTTGCCGACCCCTATTCTAGACCAACCCCCTGCCCACTGGGGTGTTGTTTATTTCTTGATTGCTGGCCTGATGGTTAATCTTGGTGTGAATCTGTGCTTCTCTAAGGCTTGATTGCTGGGGGGGCGGGTGTCTTTTCTAAGTGGCCATCCTAGACCAAGCCAAATCCAAAACCGCTAGAGAATAGCTAGAAGCCCGGCACTCTGACAAACCGGCCATCAACAGACACATAGATGTAAACAACTTCTACATACTATGCAAAACAGACAATCTACAAGCCAAAAAGGAAACAAAAAGATACTATAAGCAAAGAACTGCCAAAGAAGCTAATCGTAAACAGCTCAAATGAAGAACTTCCAAGACCACCCCCACCAACACTAACAGAGCAAGGCACTAGAAGGTAAACTGAGAGCAAACCCTACTTGCTACTAACACTGATGATGTTACCTAATTGGGTCATGAAACGTCTGCAAGAGAACAACCGTACTCTGACAGCACTGAGGACCCCATAGTTCTCCTCCTCCTCCTCCTCTCCACAAACCCCACTGCCTTGTAGCACTGATGATGTTCCCTAGTTGGGTAATGAAACGTCTGCAAGAAAACAACCAAGCTCAGAGAGCACCAAGGACCCCACAGTCCTCCTCCTCCTCCTCTCCACAAATCCTACTCTCTTCTAGCATTGATGATGTTCCCTAGTTGGGTAATGAAACGTCTGCAAGAAAACAACCAAGCTCAAAGCACCAAGGACCCCTCATTTCAACTCTGAGCTATAAATATTCACCTTTATATGAATCAACCTAGTTCATATAAATCATGCCAGCATTAGATGTTTAACTATGGCTATGGTTAAATATATTTACTTAACTATAGCCAGATATTTAACTATAGCTATTAAAAAAACTTCTAGTAAGGAGTCAATGAGTTGGGATTTTAAGTCTACTATGTGATATAGTCCTCAATTTACAACCGCAATTGAAATCAACATTTCTGTTGCTCACCAGGGTGGTTTTAAAGTGAGTTGTGCGGATTTTAGGACCTTTTCCCCACCGTTGTTAAGTAAATCAATGCGGTTGTTAAGTGAATCCTTTAGTCGTTAAGTGAATCCAGCCTCCCTCATTGACTTTGCTTGCTGAAAGCCAGCTGGGAAGGTTACAAAAGGTGATCACAGGACCCTAGGATGCTGCAACCGTCATAAGTACATGTCAGTTGCCGAGTGTCTAAATTTTGATCATGTGACCACAGGGATGCTGCAGTAGGTTGTCAGTCACTTTTTCTCTCTTTTTTTGGTTTTTACATTTTTTTTTCAAAGTTCTAACTTTGAACAGTCACTAAACGAATAGTTTTAAGTCGAGGGGTATCTGTAGTTATTAAGTATTTGACATGTTAAAGTGTTTTATCCAAGGTCAGGTTCTGATTGCATTTATAAATTGCATTTGGATCTTCGGGCCATCAATAAAATTGAACTGAATTGATAACAAATCACCCATTATTTCCAAAAGTTCCGGATCGCAAGACTTTAACCGCTGCTCGCCCCTTTTGTTGTGCCAAATTCACTCTTGCCGTTGATGGATTTCAGAGGAACACACCACAAAAACACAACCGAAAGAAAACGTCATGCATCCGCCTTTCCTAACAATACGATTAAAGATTTGCAAGACATTATCAAAAGGACTTGATCTAGGCCTTAAGTAAGCATACATTACCCTGGTGCTGAAATCACTTTCTGACAGCTACTGACAAACACAACCTCACTTTGGAAAGTGCCACCGTTAAAAGTCCTACAGGGCAGGGTTGTAAAAGCTCAGGGTCACCATTAAAAAGTTATCAGGGTACAACAGGGGTCTTCAAACATGGCCCTTTGATGACTTGTGGACTTCAACTCCCAGAATTCCTCAGTCAGGCACGCTGGCTGAGGAATTCTGGGAGTTGAAGCCCACAAGTCATCAAAGGGCCAAGTTTGAAGACCCCTGGCGTAGAATCATAGGGACCTTGGAGGCCTTCTAAGGCAGGAGACCCTATACCAGGGGTAGGGAATCTTGGCTTTTATGACTTGTGGACTTCAACTCCCAGAATTCCTGAGTCAGCATGGCTGGTTCAGGAATTCTGGGTATTGAAGTCCACAAGTCATAAAAGAGCCAAGATTCCCTACCCTTGCCCTATACAACCCGTCAAATGGCTGTCCAATCTCTTTAAACGGAATAACAGAGGCGGAAGGGACCGTGGAGGTCTTCTAGTCCAGCCCCCTGCTCAAGCAGGAGACCCTAGACCAGGGGTAGTCAACCTTGGCTCTTTTATGACTCGTGGACTTCAACTCCCAGAATTCCTGAGCCAGCTAAGCTGGCTCAGGAATTCTGGGAATTGAAGTCCACGAGTCATAAAAGAGCCAAGGTTGACTACCCCTGCCCTAGACCATTCCAGACAAGTGGCTGTCCAGGCTCCTCTTCATCTCCCGTGATGAAGCACCTACAACCACAGAAGGCAAGCTATTCCACTGGTTGATTGTTCTCATTATCAGGAAAGTTCTCCTTAATTCTGGATTGCTTCTCTTCTTGAGCTGGGTTGTTTTCTTGCAGATGTTTCATGACCCGTCTAGAGAACGCCATCAGTGCTAGAAAGGAGTGGGGATTGCCCACTCTAACCCTAAACATTCCAGCACTGATGACGTTCCCTAGTTGGATAATGTAACATCTGCAAGAAAACTACCAACTCAGAGAGCACCAAGGACCCCACAGTTGTCCTCCTCCTCCTCCTCCTCTCCACAAACCCAACTCACTTCTAGCACTGATGATCCTCCCTAGTTGGGTAGTGAAAGGTCTGCAAAAAAAACTACCCAAGCTCAGAGAGCACCCAGAAGTCATAAACTTGAGATCGGTACCAAACCAGCCACGTTCCCCTTTGACGGGGATGGCAAGCTTTTTTAATACTAATTTTGCTTTAATCGACGTCAGGCAGGAAAGGGGAAAAAAAAAACCTATCCCTCCCAGTTACCATTAAGCAATTTTCCTGGGAAAGGAAAATAAAAAAAAAAATCAGCTCCTAATACGACCACAAACCACATCTGCACACAAGGGCTGAGTCACACCCTGGCATTCAGTGAGTTTATACATCACTCTCTCTGCCCCGAAGCAACCCGCTGCGTCATTTTCTCGGGCTCCCAATTCAGCCTCAAAGAGACCTGGAAAAAAAGAACCGTGCAACAGATTTCCTCCAAGACAATGACACAGAACAAAGAGAGGAAGCAGCTGTCGGTCTTAATCCGACGTTAAATTTGGACGAGGGGATAGAGGGGGAACTCATCAAATTTGCAGACGACACCAAGCTGGCAGGAATAGCCAACACTCCAGAAGACAGGCTTAAGATACAGAAGGATCTGGACAGACTTGAACACTGGGCACTATCCAACAAAATGAAATTCAATGGTGAAAAAAGCAAGGTTCTACATTTAGGCAAGAAAAACCAAATGTACAGGTATAGTATAGGGGGTACCTTGCTCAATAGTAGCAACTGTGAGAGGGACCTCGGAGTCCTAGTGGACAATCACTTAAAATATGAGCCAGCCGTGTGCTGCAGCTGCCAAAAAAGCCAACACAATCCTAGGCTGCATTAACAGAGGGATAGAATCAAGATCACGTGAAGTGTTAATACCACTTTACAAGGCCTTGGTAAGGCCACACTTGGAATCCTGCATCCAGTTTTGGTCACCACGATGTGAAAAAGATGTTGAAACTCTAGAAAGAGTGCAGAGGAGAGCAACAAAGATGATTAGGGGACTGGAGGCTAAAATATATAAGGAACAGTTGCTGGAATTGGGTATGTCTAGTTTAATGAAGAGAAGGATGAAGAAGGGACATGATAGCAGTGTTCCAATATCTCAGGGGCTGCCACAAAGAAGAGGGAGTCAAGCTATTCTCCAAAGCACCTGAGGGCAGGACAAGAAGCAACGGATGGAAACTGATCAAGGAGAGAAGCAACCTGGAACTAAGGAGAAACTTCCTGACAGTTAGAACAATTAACCAGTGGAACCACCTGCCTCCAGAAGCAGTGAATGCTGCAACACTGGAGGTTTTTAAGAAGAGACTGGACAGCCATTTGTCCGAAATGGTATAGGGTTTCCTGCCTGAGCAGGGGGTTGGACTAGATGACCTCCAAGGTCCCTTCCAACTTCATCATCATCATCATCATCATCATCATCATCATGTTCATCATCATAAATAAATAAAATTAGGCCTGGCTCTTAAAAAAACACAA